TTCTAGAGTATCTGTGTTTCAAGCAGTGGATATGGTCCATAACATTTGAACCTTGCAGCTCATCCTCACGAGTTGTTAGACATTACCAACTAGTTTTGTTCCTTTTCCATGCCCGGTTTTGAACGCAATCGTGAACATATTTGGACAAGTCGAGACCCCCAGCAATAACAAAATGTGTCTCTCAACGAAAAGTCAGAATAATTCTTGGCATCCGAAGATAAAGATATTCGGATTGTGAAATGCTATCTTTTTACTCTATAATTGGGCAGTTTGAAAAATAGGCGCGCTTGGCTGGGGCATCCACACCTGGCGGGTGAGTAACAGACAAGGTAGATATTGCTGGAATAATATGCAGAAGAGTAGGGAGAGAGACAATAAGTAGAGATTATAGGACAGGTTAAAGCAGAATGGCCTTAGAAATGAGGGACGCTGCAGGACATCCTCTATCAAATCAACAATACTCGCAAGAGTTTACTTGAACTCCTGTCTTTGTGAATCGCCGAGCTTGCTCGTTTCAACATTACATATTTATCGTTAGATACGCCTGAACCGCTGGGTGGAGAGCAAACACCTCCGGCTTAATTCCAGCTTGATAATCCATTCGATTGTGATGCAACAAAATCTTTATCGTGCATGGATATCAAGATTTGTGACTTCACCGGATGACATAATGGGAATAATTCGTAAGATGTCATATAATAAAAGCAGAGAAAGAACTACATACGTTAAAAATAATCCATTCCGGCGGAGCCAAGTTTGTCGCTGGAGTCGAGCACCCTACATAGTCAGAAAAAGAGTCAGAAAAAGAGAGTCAAAAGCAGAGCAAACAGCTGTTAGTAGGTGATTGCGCACGTAGGGTTTATTTACTTGAACGGGGGTGAAACTTACGAGTATTGTTTTGTGAGCGTACCCTCTCCACCTTTCGATAAATCAACGTTATACACATAAAAATTACCATCACTAGTGACCACCATGACCTGGGGAGTGTTACTGCTCATAGCAACTACGCTTCGCACGGGTCCAGCATTAGAACCGGGGCCACCATACCCCGCTGTCTTGGGAAGTCTGATCCAAGCAAAATCCCTTGCCGGCTCCCATATCTCTGTGACCCCCTTTGGCAAATAACCACCAACAGTCGCTGCGAACGAATTGCCTACGTTTTGTGAGGTCCGGCGAATCATGCCCATAAGTGTACCATTATGCTTTCGAGAGCTGATGTCACTGGGGTCACCGTCCGTAGGTGAATTGTCCCCACCTGATAAAGTGCTAGAACCCTGACTGAATGCTCTTTCCCGAGGAGTACTATTAGTTTTTCGGGAATCAGTGCCAATCGGGGAAGTGGGAAGATCTTCTGAAGGGTCTTGGTGGCCTAGTTTGAAAATATGGATTGTTTCGGTTGCTGAAGAAACACAAAGAAGAGTGGATGTGATATTGAAAGACATGCTAAATATTCGAGATGGCATAGAGCCCCTTCGGAATTGGTATAGCTTTTGCGCGTCAGGGACAGAAAACACCCGGATAATAGTTCCTTTGTCGGAGGCTGTAGCCAACAGGGTACCTTCCGTATTGATTGCGAGGCACGACAAGGGAGACTTATGGGCCTCAACGACGTTAATCGCTTCGAGCTTTAGCGTGTCGAAAATAAGAACTTCGCCGCTAGTCGGTGAGATGTGCGCGCTACTGGGTGGAGCGTGTGAAGGCGGCGTGAATGATGATGGAGGAGCCTTCTGCGGAAGAGGATAGGCAAGGTAGCAGTTTTCCGAGGAAGGGGAGAGTGCACAAATGGCTAGATGATATATTAGTTAGTGACCAGTCCTTCTCCATCGGTTCCTTGCAAGGGTTTGGACGTCTTGCTCATTACGCACCGTTCGGATTTGGCGAAGTCTCAATAGTGTAAAGAAGTTTCATTGTTTGGATATCATATAGGTAGATCTGGTCCTCCAGAACAATGACTAATCGCTTCCGATTCAAACGGACGGCGAGAACTGTGGTAGGAAAGGTCAATTCGCATATCGTCGATTGTCTCTGATCCAGCAGTTAGCAACTGAAATTATGACTCTCAAAACGTAGAGGATGCTAATGTAGCCGCAGGGAGTATGGCAAACGGACCTTGGTGTTTGTAATCTGTAACCGTCGAGGAGAGAGGATAAGGGCGACAAGGGAGGTTGAGAATAGCATTTCTAGAATCGCGATGTTTCCTTTCTTTCGTTTCATAGCTCTTCGCGAAAGGATCAGTGGTAA